TCATGTCCCCTCTCACTATTATCTTTTCAAAACTAAACAAACTCAATTTTTTCACCCTTCCTTAACAGGTCATGTTCTCAAGACTTTTAATCATTCTTGTTGCTCTTCTCTGAACCCTCTCCAATTTCTCCACATCTTTCTTGAAATGCGGTGCCCAGAACTGGACACAATACTCCAGTTGAGGCCTAACCAGCGCAGAGTAGAGCGGAAGAATGACTTCTCGTGTCTTGCTCACAACACACCTGTTAATGCATCCCAGAATAACATTTGCTTTTTTTACAACAGCATCACACTGTTGACTCATATTTAGCTTGTGGTCCACTATAACCCCTAGATCCCTTTCTGCCATACTCCTTCCTAGACAGTGTCTTCCCATTCTGTATGTGTGAAACTGATTGTTCCTTCCTAAGTGGAGCACTTTGCATTTGTCTTTTGTTAAAACTTCATCCTGTTTACCTCAGACCATTTCTCCAATTTGTCCAGATCATTTTGAATTATGACCCTATCCTCCAAAGCAGTTGCAATTCCTCCCACTTTGGTATCATCTGCAAACTTAATAAGCGTACTTTCTATGCCAATATCTATGTCGTTGATGAAGATATTGAACAGAACCGGTCCCAAAACAGACACCTGAGGAACCCCACTCGTTCTACCTTTCCAGCAGGATTGGGAACCATTAATAACTACTCTCTTTGGTCTCCGATAAGAACATAAAAACAGCTATACTGGGTCAGACTAATGGTCCATCTAGCCAAGTATCCAGTCTTCCAACAGTGGCCAAGGCCAGGGCTTTCAGTGGGAATGAACAGACCAGACAATCATCAAGTGCTCCATCCCCTGTCGCCCATTCCCAGCTTCTGGCAAACAGAGGCTAGGGACACTCTGACCATCTTCAGTAACAGCCACTGATGGCCCTATCCTCCAAAACTTATCTAATTCTTTTTTGAACCCCATTATACTTTTGGCCTTCACAACATTCCATGGCAATAAGTTCCATAGGTTGCCTGTGCGTTGTGTGAAGAAGTACTTCCTCATATTTGCTTAAAACCCGCTGCCGATTAATTTCATTGGGTGACCCATGGTTTTTGTGTTATGTGAAGGGGTAAATAACACTTCCTTATTCACTCTCTCCATGCCAGACATGATTTTATAGACCTCTGTAATATCCATCCTCAATAGTCTCTTTTCTAAGTTGAAAAGTTCCAGTCTTTTTAATGTCTCCTCATATGGAAGCTGTTCCATACCCTTAATCAGTTTTGTTGTCCTTTTCTGTACCTTTTCCAATGCTAATATATCTTTTCTGAGATGGGGCGATGAGAACTACATGCAGTATTTAAGGTGTGGTTGTACCATGGATTTATACAATAGCATTATGATATTTTCTGTCTTATCTATTGCTTTTCTAATGGTTCCTAACATTCTATTAACATTTTTTTTGACTGTTGTTGCACAATAACGGCTCGTATGATCCTCTGTTTCAGTGCTAACAGCAAGCTTCTCAACCGTGATTCATCAGAATGCACCAGCTCAATGATACAAAGACACACTCAACATTCCCTCTTTTTCTGCATGCTTGTGGGGAACTTGCTTATGGCTCAAAGCCTAGAAAGCTACTTCTTAATTTAAAAAATATATAGTATTATTGTTTTTGATGGGCAAGCAATGCCAAGGGTAAAACTTTGGTTTTGCAACACTAATTGCCAAATGTTCTGAGCTGACCGACTAGCTAATGTATATTTGTAGCAGGTGTTTTGTAGTATTTCAAAACAGCACATACACTTATCTTTGGTGTTGGGATTTAAGCTATTTAACATCATAACTAGAAAGAGTCAAGGGGATAAAATATTGTAAAACCGCCATCCAGAAATATGTATTTTACTAAAGGCACTTAAGTAAAAGTAACAAAATTCATTAAAAATAATGCTGCAAACTTTATGGGCCATCTTCTCCTGAAGACTTTGCACATAACTCCCATTGATGTCAACAAGAGATCAGTGCATAGAACGAGACCTTTTTTCTATGGCCATAATTACATAACTGTCCATGTTACAAAAATAGTATTTCTTTATTTGATTATAAAGTCCCCGTTTCATTAAAATCAGTGCCATCCACAAATCCTAAAGCAGGAGAAAACACATCTTCTTCAGTAGATCTGATGCTGGTGCCTCTGTTTGAACTAATATATTTGTGTATCATGCTGTAATACTGTCCTTTAGTATTGAAGGCATACAAGGACGAGATCTGCTGCCAGTCTTTGTTGCTGGGAGTCTGAAATGGTTCTGGCTCAGTGGACTCAAAGAAGCACTTCAGGTTCCTTTCTGCCAGCTTGGTTGCATGCTCCTTGGCCTTCCTCTCAAAAACCTCCCGTTCCTTTTCCAAGTAGATTTTCCAGAACCTCAGCTGAAGAAAACTGACTGGAGAACGACAGCGGTTGATGCATGTGACAGCCAGTACTAAAGCCATGATGCTTGCTATCAGTATCCATCCTAGCACCTGGGGGAACATACAGTTGGATCAATGAAGGTTGCAGATGATTAGGAGCATCAAAAGTTCCTGGCTAAGAATATATAATTTAACATTGTTTTAGACAGGAGATCAGTAAGTGGACACTGCTTGAAAAGCCCATCACACTGTGCTGTCTGTGGAGAATGTACCCCATGTATGTGAACAATCCCAGCAAAGTCTGCTAACCTTCAAGGGCCTGGGATGAGATTTTGGGGTCGGAAGAGAATAATCCATCCTGACTGTGGGTGGGTTCAGGTTTCTATCCAACATTCTGTTGGAAATGGCTGGAAATGCTGACTAGGGGAAACGTTAACAGTGTCCACTTTCATACAGATTGAGTTTTACAAGTAAAAAAGCCAGTGTATTTTTATAATATTTAAAGTTGACTATCAAAGAAAAAATGGTTTTGTATCCCTTTTTGCTTTTTAGTTATCTATAAAGACCCAATTAAAAGTAATAAAAAATAATAAGACTCTAACCTTTTTTTTTTTTTTTTACCGTAGTAATATCAGGAATAGACGATCTTATCTCCCCTGGTTTTGCCAGGTTTTTTGCATGATTCACAAATATGGATTGGGAACTTTCCCATCCCAGTCTCTTACTTGAAGGAAAAGTGTGCTAACTCTTTGACCAATTTTTCAACTCTTTTCTCTGACATGTTTGAGTTAAACAGGTGCTGATAAAAAACAAAGAATGTTAAACTAACTGATTAAAAATCTCTTTCCATCTCTACTAATCAGACTTCAATTACATGGTTTCCCTGATTTCACAAATCTTCTAGTTCTCTAGTCAACCACAGGCCATATCTTCACTAGGGAAAAAAGGTGTATTCTTAACTTGAGTTAGTTCATTCAAGGTTAAATCCTAGTGAAGACAAGGCAGTCTTTAGTTTTCACACAAGTTGCCTTTGGGTGAGCTGAGTAATTAACTTGAGCTGCTTACTCACACAAAAACTACAAAATGCCATGTCTTCACTAGGATTTTACATCCAGTCAGGGCCGGCTTTAGGCCGATTCCCCCGAATCAGGCCCCGCGCCTAAGAGGGCCCCGTGCTCCGGGTCTTCGGTGGCACTTCGGTGGCGGGTCCTTCACTCGCTCCGGTTCTTCGGCGGCATTTCTGCGGCGGGCCCCGTCAAAACTATTCGAATTGGGCCCTGCACTTCCTAAGGCCGGCCCTGCCTCCAGTTAGCAAACTCCAGTTAAGGATACACCCTTTTTTCTTAGTGAAATCAAAGTCTTATAGTCTTCTAGTGAAGAGAGGAGATGATCAAACCTGGATTTCTAATGGAAGAAAACAGGAGAAATTGAAACAAGAACAAACAAAAAAGTCCCAAAACTTTTTAGGCCTCTTTTTTACATCATAAAGGTGGGGGGGGGGGGGAACAAACACATTCTTCCCTTTCAGCTCTCCACAGTCTATAGCTACCTTGCTTTCAGGGAAACAAAAATTAAACCCTATTTCTGGAATATGAGTGTGAAATTGACAGTGATTTCAAACTTGGGGGACACATCCAGACCCTCTATATATCCTTTTTCACATGCTAATTCTCTTCTGTTATTAAACATTTTAAATAAACACCAGCTTCCTCTTATGTATAGGAACTGAACTTAAAAGTGTTCATGATGTAAAGAGAGGCAAGGAAGTGGAAAAAGAGAAGAGAAATTCACAATACATCTCTTTTGAAAAGGGTAGAAAATCTACGGATGGGAAAGCCCAATTATTTGATATCCAGTCAAGTTCCCTGCCCATGCAGACTTATTCTCAACTTGCCTCAAAGGAAAAGGCATGAACATCGTTAGGAAGCAATCTCCTCAGATTTACAGCAGGCCAAAATGGTAGAAAGCAATATAGACTGCAGTGGGAGATGCAACTAACAATATATTACCTTTCTTTTAGTCGGTTTAGAATATTTTGCTAACTACATAAGTGCAAAAATTTCTTTTTCATATTATAGTCTTGAGGCTGCATCCCTAGGCCATCACATCAGCACAAGTAAGCTGAGGTGGCACCTGTAGGGACAGCACCTACTTTAACTGAACTACTTATGTTGCCCCTCCATCTCTCCAGAAATCACTCCGCGTCCATTGCACCTCCATGGGGCTAAAGCCAATAGGATAAATCAAAGGATGGAAGAGACCATACCTGGGACTGAGCTCGAAGGTTCACAGATGTCTGTGCCTCTTGGGGGAGAGTCCCACCACAGGGTATTCTGGCCACCCGCTCATGGCACTGAGTCCCTCTGCCTTGGCACAGGTGCCTCTGCAACAGGCTGCTCCCACTTGCTGCGCACTCATACAAGTTGGCCCCAAGCAGGGCCACGGCGATCCAGGTGAGTGGGGCCACAGCAGCACTCACCGTCACCAGCCACAGCACCCTAAAGAAGCGCCAGCAGCTCCACTTGCCTGAGGCGCAGCAGCCAGTGAACAGCCGCCAGGTCCTGACGTTCAGCAGGTAGCCAAGAAGGAAGAGGATCAGGGCAGGCACCAACAGGAAGACAGAGCCATAGAGCATGTTCCAGGAGTTGCAGGGGCATTGGAACGCCACGGCTGAGAAGAGACGTTCGCTGCCCGCGGTCAGCAGGGACACGGCGCTGTAACCGAGCACCTTCTGGTGACTGAGGCAGAAATCCAACACGGTGCGAAACTTCTCCATCTCCTGCCCCGGCTGCTGCACTAAGCCCGGCACCCTTGCCTGTGCCTTTGTCCTTGCCTTAACCTCACTTGGTTATGTGTAGAAAAGGAAGAGGATGTGAGGTGACGTCTCTAGTTCGTACATCCCTCACAAACAAACAGAAAGGTTTCACTTTCTCCTGGTGTAGCGAAGGTCCAACACAGTGCGAAACTTCTCCATCTCCTGCTCCTGCTGCTGCACTCTGCCTGGCGCCCTTGCCTTTGAGGGTGATGAAACCTCACCTGGTAATATTCCAGTTGAGAGGAGAAATTGGGGATAGCCAAGTATTTCTTTGATGCAATTTTGTGTATTTGCAAAGGATGTACACAGTCCTGTGTCTCTGAATGCAGAAGGAATCAATAATAAAAGGAGCAATATTTTAGCTTACAGCTCCAAGCTTCTTTAGCAAACACCAGACCCAAAAGGTCTCTCTCCAGCTTTTCCAGGGTTATACCTTTATGCTCACAGGACACTGCTCAGCTTTCTTGCTTTACTCTGCATCACTCTTTGTTCTCTGTGTGTGTGTGTGTGTGTATGTGTGTGTGTTCTGCTTTTTTACCCACCCACACCCACCTGTCTCACACACAATGCTCAGTAAAACCCCTCCACCCACTCAGCCCAAACTCTTGGGTGCGTCCACAACCCTCTTTTGTCTTAGGTCCCGGTTAACTCGTCTGACAGGCTCCCTCTTGGGCCTTGCTCTGCTCCCCTTATGAATTAACGCACCAGAAAGCGGCTTGATCTCTGCTGAGGCCCTGGCACAGAGGGTGTGCCAGGAAGAAAGGGGTATGACTCATGTGCTGCTGCACTCCAGCAATTCCCAGCTAGCAAGCAGCTCCTGTGGTCATTCCTGGCTGACCATAGTTCAGAGTAGCCCTGGGCCAGCCCCAAAAACAGAGAGGTGCAAACAATGCATCTCTCATCCCCACGCAACCTTCACATCTTCCCTGGACTACATCTTCTTTTGGGCCTAATCCCTCAGTGGTTTGAGCATTGGCCTGCTAAACCCAGGGTTGTGAGTTCAATCCTTGAGGGGGCCACTTAGGGATCTGGGGCAAAATCAGTACTTGGTCCTGCTAGTGAAGGCAAGGGTCTGGACTTGATGACCTTTCGGGGTCCCTTCCAGTTCTATGAGATAGTTATATCTCCATATCTTTATTACAATAAGAGATACTGTTTCTTCCTTCCTACACAGGGTTGGCCAATTCCTCCTGATTTAAAAGGGCTATTATGCCATAGTCGATGTTAAATTATAGGTAACTGTCAGTGCAGGGTGGGAGTGTGGATGGTGGTCAGTGGGGAAATGGGGTTGAATGGGGGCAAGGGTCCCGGGGGGCAGTCAGGAAGGAGGGGAGGTGGATGGGGCGGCAGGGGGCAGTCAGGGGCATGGGTTCCGGGGACGGTCAGGAGGCAGGGAGAAGGGGTGGTTGGATGGGGCAGGAGTCCCAGGGGGGCCGTCAGGAATGAGAGGAGGGGTTGGATGGGGAGGCGGGGGTCAGCGGGCAGCCAGGAAGGAGCGGGGGTTGGATGGAACAGCAGGGGGAAGTCAGAAGAAGGGGTTCTGGGGGCGGTAGGGGACAGGGAGAGGGGGTTTGTGGATGGGGCAGAGGTCCTGGGGGGGGGCAGATAGGAGGTGGGGGGCCGGGCCACGACCCCCTCCCCAAACCAGCCCTCCATACAATTTACGAAACATGATGTGGCCCTCAGGCCAAAAAGTTTGCCCGCACCTGGTCTAACTGATCACCATATCTGGGGTTGGGAAGGAATTTTCGTTCAGGTCAGTTTGGCAGAGATCCTGGGGATTTTCTGCCTTCCTCTGCAGCATGGGGCACAGGTTACTTTCAGGTTTAAACTAGATTCTCAGTAATTTGAAGTCTTTAAACCATGATTTCAGGATGTAAGTTACTCAGCCAGAGGTTAGGGGTCTATTACAGGAGTGGGTGAGTGAGGTTCTGTGGCCTGCAATGTGCAGGAGGTCAGACTAGATGACCATACTGGTCTCTTCTGACCTTAAAGTCAATGAGTCTATGAGTGATTCTATTATATACTCCTTAGGTAAAATCTGGCCCCATTTAAGTCGATGTGAGTTTTACCACTGACTTCAGTGGGGCCAGGATTTCATCCTCTTCCAGGGTGCAACCATCTATAATAAAATTACTCTTGTTAGTCGTCAATGAACTCTTATATGTGACAGAGAAAGGTAGGACATTTTTAACTGAATGACGTTTACTGGGTATCACAAACTAAAGGCACAATGAGAATGCACTGTCTTATTACTGTGCTGGTCTTTACCTGCTGGGAAGACCAAAACACTAAGCAGCGTACTGAATCCAGGGGGAACATGCATTTTTGACTTCTCAACACACAAAATAACTATCTGGAGTTCTCTTTATTTACATTTTTATAGTTTCACTGTTTACAATAAGAATATAGTCTTCCAGGCCAGGCATCTCCAGTCAGTTATACTAGGCTCTTCTTTTCTGGTTTGTTTTTAAAGTGACTGAAAAAGAAGTTCTATGGAGTTCAATATTTATTGTGTCTTAATGGTTTCCATGTTAAATGTGCCCAGTTTACAAGTTAAAAAATGGAGTAGGGGGTAGAGGATGGAGAGGCAACCTAGTAATCTCAACCTGGGATTTCAAAGTCAAACTGGACTTTTCTGGCTCATGCACAGTCACCAGAAATGCAGTTCTGGAGGAACGTGGGTACCAGTTGTGTTGATGATTAGGCAGAACCGGATTCCCCAAAGCTAACAGGAGTAAAGAGCAGCAAAATCTTTTCTGTCACACAAGTAAGCAGCTCTGACCCTCAATACGCACTTGGGGTTTTTTCTCAAATGATCTAAGGACCATTTTTACAATGTAACTTTTCAGAGTAGAACTGAACTTTAAGGGTCCTGAACATCACCTTCTACCCTCAATTCCGAAGCTGCTTATTAATGGCTAGAAAAC